AATCGGGACCTCGCACCAAGTGATTATGGCAAATGATTTGACTGGCCTGCGAAAATTGATTCACACACTTTTTGGGCAATAAGGACAAGGTTTGCTATGAGTGGCTCAAAATGATATTACTTTCAAAATGGAAAAATTTTAGTTCTTTTATTTAATTTTATTGAATTTCATTTTATTTTTTCTAAATTAAATTTATTTATTTTAATTTTATTTAATTTAATTTTATTTTATTGAAGATTATTTTTCTATTTAATTTAATTCTGGAACTTTTATATATCTATTTATTGAATTTTATTTTATTTTTTGAATCTAAATTTATTTATTTTAATTTAATTTAAATTTATTTAATATAATTTAAATTTCTTTAATTTTATTTATTTAAGATTATTTCACAATTTAATTTTTTTTATTTATGTATTTGTTTTTAGTATGTTTTTATTTTTATTTTTTTAAATATGAAATACATGTACATATGTATGAAATTTTTTTGATTAATTTAATTTTGTTTTATTTAGTTTTAAGTTGTTTTATTTATTAAAATTCATTTTAATACATTTTTATTTAATTTTTTCTTTTCGTTTGTTTTTATTTTTATGTTCAAAATTGTTTTTATTTTTTTTTTTGTTTTACATTTTAAAATATTTCAACCTTCATTTCTTATCTTTCAAACGTCATTATTGTCGTCCCACTGTTTGCATTCCAGCTGTTCCAGCGATCAAGCGCGATCTTTGTTTGAAAATTGCCTAACGGTAAACTGTTTGCATAAAACTCAAATATGATGGAATGTACATAAGATTGTATGAAGAAATGTGTCAGTAATAATACAAAATGAAAAAAAAAAATTTATACAAAAGAGTGCGCACAAATATAATGTTAAAAAATGTTTTCGATTTTCGTGCTCTCCAAAAGGTCTCCGCTTTGTAGAAAGGTGGAGTTATCATAAAATATGAATTCACAACCCACAAAGGTCACTGCTTTTTGGCCATATACTCAGTGAAATAAACCTGCACATTGGGTTGTGTGTGAAGAAATATTTAACGATTTTTAAATTATTTAAAAAAAAAAAAAAAAAAAACATAAGAATGAACTTTACTTAGTGTTACGCACGTCTACAAATTAGTAACGGTAAATGTTACTAGTATTTTCGCATTTCTACACAATAATAAATATTTACACAACAACAATTAACTCGAAAATTCTCCTAACAAAGCCGGTTAATTGTTTTATTTAATTTCAAAGGTCCGACATTGTCGTCACAGGTGCTCTCTGTTTGTATATATACACACAAATTTACATATTTAGTGTGTAAATTAAAAAAAATTTGTCATCACATACATACAAATGTATGTAAATGTATTTTATTGAAATTTTAGTATGTATTCGGTGTAAAGTTTCAGTTCGACGTTTGCATAATTAATTAATAGCAAGCTAATATTATATATTTATGTATATGTATGTATGTATGTATATTTGCATTCACACTCATGTCTGGAAGTAAATAAAACAAATGACAGTATTGTGGTTTCAAGAACGTGCGAGTGTATTTCCTCACTTTGGTTCTTAATTGTTGTTGCTCAGCCTGACAGTTTGGCTTATTTATTTTAATTTTATTTATATTTATTTTTTGATTCTCAATTTGTGAAACCCAGTTTATTGTGAATTAAAAAAATATTAATTTAATTTATGTTAATCGATTTATTTTTATATATCACAGACACTTTGAAGTTACATACATACATACACGTATGTACGAGTATGCATATCTTTATTCGGAACTGGGCTAATTTTAAATATTTATTTGTACACTTAATGAAAAAAGCTTATAAAGATCTATACGAACAGGCCTATTCTCACTGTTGCCAGTAAAGTAAATTTTGTTACGAAATTGAATTTGGTATTCTGGCAATGTTTGGAAAAACTTTGGCAGCACTGCTTTTCTCGTCCATGACAAATTACATTTGACAGTTGGTAAAGTAAAAAAAAAGATTATTCACACATCGAATGGAATGGAAGGCGGTGCACAATAAAATAAATAAGTTTTATTAATTTGTTTATTAAATCATAAATATTTGAATCTAATTTTAGAAAATATGCTTAAGCGACAAAAAAGAAAGCTGAATGAAAACGTTATCTTCCATATTAAAAGAGCTATTTTTTGTCTCGAAAACTTCTTAGCATACGTCTTTTTGCACTTTTTTCTTCATCTTCAATGAATTTCAGGCCTAAAATATGCCTATCCATTTCGGTTTTTCACAAACTAACAACACAAAATCAAACAGCAGATTTATTTGTTACCTCCTTTTTCGCTGGTAACAAAATTTACAGGGTGACTATGAACTCAGAATACGAAATAGTAACAAAATTTACTGTATGGTAAATTTTAATACCAAAATAAATTTTATTACTTCGACAGAATAGGCCTGTCCAAGGAAAACTTCCCTATTATTTTCCTTAGAACTGTTTTTTCTTAATCGGAAGTTTTCTATAATTATAATTTGGTGACCAGAATTTTTTACCGCACACCAAAGAGAGCTTGTTTCTTAAGACCAGCTTATTATTTAATCTCAGAAATATAGTTGTTTGTTGACATTTCCTGGTGATCGAATAATAATTTTCTTTAATAATTTCCTTCAATTTTTATGTTGGTCGGACTGTGATTCGCATGATCTTCCGCATGGTAGTAGGTACAGTAGAGATTAAGAGATTGGGATGCGACTGCTATGGAGTGGTACATCATGTCAATCGAGCGCGCTGAAATTGTTCAGCTGTAACTGCTTCTGAATTGTTAGAACTCGATGTGCGTGAAGGAAAAAAAAAACAAAGTCACACAGTACCGTGAGCAAACAAAATTGTCGGTTCTACACCATTGTAAACACTCAAATTATTGAAGAGGTACTTTTTCACGATTAAAAAGTGATAGTATGGTGTGTCGTGGTTGTGCTGATGTGGTTCCCAAACTGATATTTGATCTTTGTGGAAAAACATCAAGTATTCGTGGAAATGGTATGGAACACTTCTGGTGTCAACAGGCAACACAACACCTCACACGGGTCGTGCTATAGATTTGACACCACCGGACCTATTTCTCTGGAGCTCTATGAAGACTCATTGCACTAGAGTCTCACTAGAAGATATAAGATTCCAAAGTTATCAACATCATCAATGCACTCAAGATCGGAGCAATACTGAGTCTCCAAAATATCTGGGGCTCAGTGTGGACAAAAAATTAATATCTACTGTATGGAGGTCAAAACTCGAGTTGAAAATCAACCACATCTAAATAAATATTATATAATATTAGTGTGTCATTACGGACAATACCAGCTGAGACCTCTTTGCTCTACTCCCCATTAATATTAACTGCGTTGCACAATGTCCGCAATGATAGATCGGTCGCAACGAATGTAATGAGTCAAACATAAAAATAACAGAGCTAGTAAAGTCATCCACCGGGTCACTGTAGCCGTTTTCAAGCGGAACTGGTGGACATACTTGAGTTCGTTGATTGACTTGATTTTATGTTGCTCTCAGTACGTGTATACCTTTTCAAATAGCCAAGCGGCATTAAGAGCACTGGAATTTGCAACAATAAAATCTGAAAGAGTAGAGAAACACTTGACAGGATGGCTGTTGAGTAATGCTCTATGAACCCATGCTTAAGTGTGACTGGGCTCAGTAGCAAACTAGGTAATGAGATAGCAGACGAGCTTGTTTCGGAAGGAGCTCTTTCTTCCTCTGCCATTTCGGTATCATGGAAGAGTTTGGATATGCCAGATGCGAAGTAAAGATGAAAATTGCTCAAAGGTTGTAATGTGACCAGGATAATTTGGTCAACATGAGCTGAAAGAAGAAGAAAATTTGGGTAGATTAGGTTGATTGGGTTTTTGGGCGGCAATCACAATTAGCGAGTGCAATAATACGTCGACTGTACAGTGTTAGAAACCAAACCCTTGGGTTTGACGCTTGGGGGACGTCAGTGACATTTCATGAGCTCATTTGATGAACTAAGCGAGCTCAATACACGGCGACCACTTCAATCTAACCTAACCAAAACTCATATAGTAAATTGATTAATATCATTGTCATAAGTGGGGAAATCGTTAGTTCGAAGGATTAATCGTTAGTTCGAGGGCCCAAAGGCATGCTTAATTTTCATAAAGGTAAACATCTAGCGAAGGATGAGGAATAAGTGTCTTCTTCTTTTTCTCATATATATAAAAATAAGTGCAAGTTATCTCAAAAAGGATCTATAATGAAATTTACAAAATAGCTGAAAGTCGGATCAGGGTGAGATAGTAAGTGCTGGCAACATGCAACATGATAGCTTAATGACGGCTGCTACTGGCATCTCACGCAAACATATTAAGCATTAGTAGCAGTGACAGTACTTGTAGGAAGTGCAAGGACGAAGGCATGAATGAGACCTTAGAACACCTCCTCTGTTTCTGTCAGGCCGCTGCAAGAACTCGTCTTACATTACTCGGATCGTCGCAGTTCAAAAGACCAGAGTTGGTTTAAAACTTTGCTATTAAGGCTCTCTTAAACTTGGGGAAAAAACATTGACGACCTACGTCCGCCACGACGACTTATTTAGATACCCCCTGCGGGTTAGGGGCTCAAGAATTTACTCGCGGTAAGGCATGCCTGTCGTAAGAGGCGTCTAAAATCCAGTAGTTCCCGCGACAGTCGGGTCTTCATACCGGAACGACCCGGATTTTTATCCGGCCAAGGACTGTCACTCCCGCAACATTCCCCAAAAAGTACTTTGGGGAATAATTTTGTGGTTACAACAACAACACTAATTTAGATCGCAATAAAGCGGACCTTAAGCTAGGCACTTAAAAGACTTTAACTTAACCTAACATAATCATAATAAATAATAATAATAAGAATAATAAAAATAATAATAATAACAATAAAAAATAATAATAATAATAAATAAAAATAATAAGATCAAGAATAATAATAATAATAATAATAATTGAATTATTTCCACTTACACTTCGAAAATCGAATACCCCATTCCGGTTGCTGCGTCATTTTTTTTCTTTGCGTTGTATATACAGGTGTATACCGCGTATTATCCAGTTTGGAAAAGTGAAATAAGACTGCTGCAACAGCAAAAACTGCGCTCCTCGTTTAACGGGGGCTTAACAAGCCGAACCGCTGCTACGATGAATTGATCGGTTGATCGCTTGATGGGGTAAGTGGTATGTGCGTGTGTGTGTATTCGTCTAGTGTGCGTTGATTCCCAAACTAAATAATAAACTGTAGTAGATATCGGTGAATTAATAAATTTGTTGTACAACGATGAAATTAAACGCTGCAAAATATCCTCTTTAATTAAGGATAATCTTGCCAATAATAAAAGTGTGCGTGTGCGTGTGGGTGTGTGTGCGTATGTATGTAAGCGAAAAAGCAAGAGCGCAGGGACGAGAAACGTTGATTAAGCACAGATATAAATACTTAACAGCGCTAACGTTTGTAACGGTATGTGCGTGCAATGCCAAGTGTTGAGAATTAGCGCTGGATAGCGGTTGTAAATCAACTAAAGAAAGCTCGGGAATTGATTTCGTAGAAATTTGTAGATTCGTTTGCCGATTTTATCTGTATTGAAATGCGTTTACTTTTAACGATTTTTGGTTATAGTTTTCGAAAATAAGTATTAAATTCGTTTTGATATTATTTGTAATAATGTAATAAATTTTTTATTTCTTTTTTTTAATTTAATTTTTTTTTAAGTTTATTTTTTCTAAAAGTTTTTTTTTCTATAAACTTATTTTAAACTTATTATATTTATTTTTTAATTTAATTTTTTTTTTAATTTTATTTTTTATTTATTTTTATAATTTTTAATTTTATTTATTTTTTAATTTAAGTTTTTTATATTTAATTTTAATGATTTTTGTAGACGTGATTTTTTATTTAACGAATTTGAAAAGTGTTTTTTTTTGTTTATTTATTTACAATTGTTTTATTTACGAGTTACGATATTTTCTTACGTTCAGATATTTTTTTTTTTTTAAATTTGCTTTGAGTTAAAAGATTTTAATAATATATATTTATTTGCAATTTTTTTGCGTTCCAAAATTTAAACGATATTTTTTAGTGCTCGAAGGTTTTATCGATATTTTTTAGTGTTCTAAGGTTTCAGCGTTATATTTTTAGGTGTTCAAAGATTTCAAGGTATTTTTTTTGAGAGTTCAAAGATTTGGACGATATGTTTGTTTAGACTTTAAAGGTTTACACTTTTTTATGTTTAACAATATTTTTTTGTGTTCTAAGATTTTATTAGGATACTTTTTGTTATTTATCAATTTGCAACGATTTTTTTTTTCATTTAACGATATTTTTTGTGTTCAAGATTTTTAACAGTTTTTTTAGCGTTTATTTATTTGCAATTATTTTAAAGATATTTTTAGCTTCGGATTTTAGTTTTGCGATTTGCATTATGCGGAAATTTGCTGTTCGAATTTCACACGATTTCTTAATCTTTTTTTATCGATAATTGAGTGTCAATACGCGCTTAATTAATTTCGTCAATTAATTTTCCTTGTTTTGCAACAATAGCTGGAACAGTATGCTAACCGGAAGAGAGTGTTTAAGTGATTTTATATTTTTTACAAAAACTCCCTTGTTATATTCAAAGCTGTGAGTGAGCAAGTTTTCTTTAGTGATCGATTGATCGATTGATTGATATGATCGGCTTGATTTTTTTATTCTTTGTGTTTGTAGCACGAAAAAAAGTGCAATCTTTATATATCAGCTGGTTGTGTGATGCTGCAGGTACGTAAAAAGGATGACAAAAACAGCAACAACAATTGATCAGCGTGCAGTATGCAACGAACAATTTTATATCGAATGCGAGACACAACAGCAGCAAATGCAAAAAGCCAATTTCTCAATTTCTGTATTCAAATTACACGATAAACCACAAAAGCAAAGAAAACAATATGTCTCAATGTATAACACGAAATAGAACCGCCGTCGCCACTAGTAGATCTCCTCCGATGGATTGCTAATTTACAAATGAGAGAGAATTTTGTGCGGTCTTACGTTTTTATACGAAACGTCTGCGATAAGCGTGGCTTGTCCATTACTATATGCCAAAAACAAAAACAAAAAAAAGAAAAATTATAAATTTTATTCCTTTTCTTTTTTGCAATTTTGCTATTTTTTACTCATTTTAAATTCTCCTTTTTTTGTTTAATTCTTTTTTGCGCTTTATATACATACATAGATATCAGCATATGTACTTATAACTTGTATGCTTGCGTGTGTGTGCGTTTGTTTATGTTTTATTGGACGGTATCAATATTTATGGCCGCTGTTCTGGCGCTATTGCCTCTCGCGCTGGACTTGTTTGTGCTGCTCGCTGTTGTTGTTGTTATTATTATTGCTGTTATTGTAGCTTTTTTAAAATCTTATTTGTACTTTTTTAATTATTTTTTCTTTTTTTTTTTAATTTCTTTTACTTTTTTCTTTGCCTCCTGCGACAGCGTAGAGTGTCTTCTCTTAACTTGGAGCGGTTGTTGTTGTTGTTTTTGTTTTTGTATTTGCCATTTTTGTGTTTTAATTTTTCGTTTCTTTTTTTCTTTTGGTTTTGGGTTTTTTTGCATTTGTTTTAGCTTTGCCTTATTTGCGCAGGTATTATAAAATTATTCAAGAAGTTATGCAGAAGTGTGTGCGAATCGTTTATATGTGTATGTGTATGTACTTATGTATGCACATACATATGTATGTCTATTTGCTCAAAGTAACATTTTTGATAGACGCAAAGTGCAGAAGACGCATTGATAGAAATCGCTATAACCACCGCTACAACTATACATATATATGTATGTATTTATGTCTATATGTATGTTTATATTAAAAGAAGTAAGTGCTAAGTACGTACATACATATTATACGAGGTGTGTTCAAAAAATATCGCGAATTTTGTGTTTTTTCAAAAATTATTTATTTATTCATGAATATCTACTTTGTCCCCTTCAAAGTAATCCTCATGAGATATTATACACTTGTGCCAACGGTTTTTCCAATCTTCGAAGCACTTCATTTTTTTATCCTGTTCAGCTCCTCCTTCGATGCCGTCTTTATCTCGTCAATCGTAGCGTAACGTCGTTCTTTCATGGGCCTGTTCAGTTTAGGGAATAAGAAAAAGTCGCAGGGGGCCAGATCTGGGGAATACGGTGGCTGCGGCATCATTAGTGTGTTGTTTTTGGCCAAAAAGTTGCGCACAAGCAACGATGTGCGAGCAGGAGCGTTATCGTGGTGCAAAAGCCAATTTTTGTTATTCCACAAATCCGGACGTTTCTGGCGGATTGCTTCGCGCAAATTGCGCATAACTTGCTGGTAATATTCCTTATTGACCGTTCCTCCCTGTGGCAAGAACTCATGATGCACCACCCACCTTTTTTTTGTCTGTTGTTGAAGTCCTCGGGCGTCCGGCATGCTCTTCGTCGTTCACAGCTTCTCGGCCTTCTGAGAACATTTTGTACCACCGATAAACGTTGCTTCGGTCCAAGGAAGCTTCTCCGTATGCCACAGCCAACATTCGGAATGTGCGCGGATGCATTAATTTCGTTTTTCACACAAAATTTGATACAGGTTCTTTGATCCATTTTTTTGAATAGGTAAATATCGAAGACCATCCCAAACACGTGCAAGCAAAGCAGCTGTCTATTATACAATTAAGTAAACATTCAAAATGGCTGAGCTCGTCGGCATAGGTAACAGACATGAGTACCAACATAACGCCACAAAAAAATCGAAATTCGATCGTACGTAACCCGCGAAAATTCAAAATTCGCGATACTTTTTGAACACACATCGTACATATGTATATTCATTGCAGTTTATTAAACATTTATGTTTTTCAAGATATGTACATTTGTATGTATGTATATATGTATGCACACAAGTCAAAGAACCAGCTAACCTACCTCACTAACTCACTAACCGAGTGACTTGACTAAGTAATACAACAAGCTTGTTAAGCGAACCCAACAAGCAGCGAGCCAATTAAAGGTTGTTTTTTTAGACATGTGGATTTCAATTTCTAATTTAATGTCACGGCTAGAACTCAGCTTCATTAGAAAGCATTTAGCCCCACGATGTGAGGCAATGTGCTCACCTGTATGGTGTGGAGCGCCATCTTGTTGGTACCAAAGGTCGTCATACATATTGATATCCTCCGATTCAGGGATGAAAAAATCATTAATCATGGCTCTAAAGCGTTTCCCATTGACGCTAACATTATGACCGGCTTAGTTTTTGAAGAAATATCGACCATTGATGATTCCCTTTGCCCATAATGCACACCAAGTAGTGACTTCTCAATAATGGCTTGTGTATTATCATCACTCCGAATGCGACAATATTGTTTATTAACGTATGCATTCAACCAAAGGTGAGCTTTATCGGTGAAGAAAATTTTTTTGTGAAAATCGGTAGCGGTGACCATCTCGTCCGCCGAATGTGCGACACACTCGATGGTCGTTTGGCTACAGCTCTGGCACGAGTGGGATTTTGAAAGGCTGCTAACCAAGATCCTTCCGCAAAATCTTCTATAAAGTGAATCGAACAGCTCCAATTGTTGCGCACGATGGCGGATGGACTCATTCAGATTTCACCGAACAGAATACGCATTATCCACTGGGTTAAAAGTTGTGCAAAACCAATCGAATTACCAACTCTGATCGGCGATTATGTCGACCGAATATTGAATGCAGCGCCACGTAGCTTTATTTGGTAACAAATTTGCAGGATTTGCAAAGGTTGTTCCAAAGTTAGTCTGTCGAAAAAGACACCCTACAATAAATGATTACATTAAGCATCAAGCTTTGCTACAAACAAACATACACATGTATATGCTAGTACTTAATCGAAGTTGAACTGCTACATATGTATATAGACAGCATCCGGGACGAAACCCTGGGCCGCTGTCGAGTTATAAAAGTATTCGAAAGCTTTGATCACTTGGAATGAAGATCATTGAATTTTGGTTAAAATATATCGCTTCCAAGTTCCGATCTTTAAGAATCGAAGTTTGTGGTTATCGAAATCTCTTTGTACTAACGAGGAGTATGCGTGGCGTTCATTTAATCCTTTGGGATACCTGTTTCTTTTTATTTCTCTCTCTCCCTCTCTCTCTGCCTCGGTCTGTCTTTTCCTCGCTCTCTGCCTCGGTCTGTCTTTTCCTGTCTCTCTCTCTCTCTCTCTCACTATAAACCATAGTCAGAATCGTATTCTGAAATCAACTGTAT